ATATATATATATATATATTAATCACACGCACATATGAGTTGGAATCCATTTTAAAACTACACCAAATTTTATACCTCAATAACATTTTTTGTATAATACAAATTTAGTCAATGGATTTTAATTTTAAACTCTAAGTTGGCATTAAAAGATTTCTTAGTATCTTTCTAAAAAAAAGTATTAGCAACACTCTTTTTAATATTCTGTTTTTAACACTATTTATTATTGATTAACTAAAATTTATTGAGTGGCCACCACTCAATCGAGAAAGATATTCCTTAAATGAGATGTAAGAACTATTAGAAATTTATAAACTTCAGAATTTTAGTCAATAATAGAAAAAAAAATATTAAAAAAGAGGTAAAATTTTCTTTTAGACTCCTATAATATATCCAATTTACAATTTTGATGTTTCAATTTTTAAATTTGCTTTATTAGTCTCTTGATTTTATAAAATTTACAATTTTAATCAAATTATTTAATATTCATCTATTGAATGTTAAAATTATAACACAAAAATGATTCAACAATAAGCTAAATCATATCTTTAATCCTCATTTTCTACTTCCATAAAAGTGATAAAAAAGAGAGTTAAATTACACTTTTATCACCTATTTATTCAATAAGAATTTTTTATTTCCTATTTTAAAATAGTTATTTATTTCCCTAATTTTAAAAATACAAAATTTTTCAGTAAAAAAAATTATAAAATTTTAGGTATATCAATGATTTGACATCTATTAACTGTTAAATTTTATTATGGGCTTATGACTTAATATATTTAAGTGACATGATATTTAGTAACATAATATTGAGAGATAAAAATTTAAAAAGAATAAAAAAACTAAAGTTTAATTATAAAATAAATATCAATCATTTATTAAAATAAAATATATATTTTTTAAAAGTCTTATCCGTAAAGGTTATGTGATTTCAGTAACGATAGATCATTGAATCAATGCTAAAAATTTAATGTTCAATAAATATTAAATTATTAGTAATACCAAAATCTCTTATTTTTAAAATTATGATTTATGAGATTAAAAGTTTCTATTTAAAATAGAAAATCAAAATTATGGATTAAAAAAAATAGAAAAACAAAACTACAATTTAGTCTAAAAAATAAAAACAAAGTTAAAATAAGAATTAAAATTAAAATTTAATCTAAATATTATTAAATATTTATTATCATATCATCTGCTTAATGATAAATAATTATTAATCTATAACTATATATTAAGTTGATTCTCTATTTTTATGTACACGTTATTTTTTTTTTTTTTTGACAATTTTTACCTTTTATAAAAATTATATGATAATAATTAATAAAGATCTCAAAATTCTTTTATGTAAAATTTTTATCCTTAAATCTGTTATTGGATTACAATAATTACGCATTATTTCTACTGACATATGTACATTCAAAGAGGGATACTACAGAAGCATTAAGTGCCTTTTTTTCATTATTATTATTATTATTATTATAATTTTAATGGTCGAGAAATGAATACGCGAATGAATTAAAATTACAAATTTTATAAAATTACAAAATTAAAAATACGGATAAAATATGATAAAAGAATAAAAAAAATTATAATTTAAGCAAGAAATGTTATACAGAGTATAAGTGACATCCTGTTGTCTTTAAAGTTTTGGTTTTTGAATGCGTGTGAGCGGACAAAACTGAATTATTCAAAGATTACAGCTATATTCGCAGTGGCACAGTAACTATGAGACCCACAAAACAGTTACATATACACTTTCTAGTCTTTATAAACATTATGAATATTTTGTTACATACACTTTTATTATCAACAATCTAACCCTGCTTTGCCTCCGATCTTAGCAATTTTAGCAGCATTCTCGCCTTTGATTTTGTTGCATTACTACACTGACTCTGCAAAAGCAATAGCAATTGAGTCAAAACTCCATTCTCAATGGCTTCCTCTCTTGCACACCCAAATTCACCACAAACTATTAAAAGCACTTCAACAGCACTCTCACTGCATTCTTGATCAGACACCCTGAAAACCATGTTCACCAATGTCTGAACACCACCAGGCTGATTCACCAATGCCTCTTTAGCACTTTTCAGATCCACAAGTTTTTCGACAATTCTCATAGCCACTGGTGCCAAGTCTCTTCTTTCTGATGATGAAATGTACCTTATAATTTCCTCTATTGCTCCTCCTCTCACCAAACTCTCTCTGTTAGATTGCATCGAACATAGTGCTGACATGGCTTTAATTGCATCCACAGAAACCTCGTAATTTTGGTTAACAACATGAACAATCTCGTGCACTAGTTTGTGGGAGTTTCCGAGAATTGAACATAAATCTTGTGTGTCAGATGTTGATGATGCTGACTCTATGACACGGCACAAGCTGGACTTAACCGAGTTAGTACCCTTTTCAAATAATAGCACAAAACTTGATAATTTAGACCCATCTTTGATCACATTTAGAGGCTCCGAACTACCAAGGGGCAACAATTTTCTAATGCAACAAAGTCCTAGCTCTATGAGGTTCATGTCATTTTTTGACACTTGAGTTCCGAAGACTAGTTCCAAAAGCAGTGGTAGGAAATCCAATTGGAGGAAGCATGATTTGTTAAAGGAACAATACTCATCAGATAAGAGACTGATTTTTCTAAGCGCTTGGAGCTTGTTTTCTAAGCTGGTTTCATGGGATTCAAGGTTGCGTTTCAGAGAAGCTAAGGAGTCAATAGTTGGGATTTCAGAGTTGCCAGGGTCAAATTGAAGCCACTGATCGATCAAGTGGCGAAGAGTGTGGTTGGGAACAATGGATGGATCATGGAGTTTTTGCATTGTAACTGGACATGTGAGGTTACCTGAAGCAAACCATTTTTCTATGTTTGACCTGTCATAGGTTTGGCCTGTGCATAAAGTCACAGGATCTTCCAACAAGTCTAAACTGATGGGGCATCTGAACAAGTGGGGAATGGTGTTTTGAGATTCGTTCATGGAAAGAAACTGAAGATTCCCTAGAACAAAGAAGCAAATAGTTCTTAGAATTTATGTCTCTAATGAAGCTTCAAAATGACAAACAAAAAAAAACATCAAAGAATATGATGTCTTATGTGAGGTTTTAGAATGGAAGACACTAGACAATACTAGACATGCATTTTAAAGCATGTAGCTAGAAAGATGGTGTCGGAAAGTGTCAAACTTTTTTAATTTCCTCTTTTAGCTAGAAGAAGAATGAGAAAGGGGCAGATGTAAGAAGGTTGGAAGTAGTGACTCAGTTATAAATGAGATGAGAAGTGAGACATGACCATAAAATATTGCAGTGGAAGTGATGGAATAAAGAGAGAAAAGTTACGAAGTTCGGGACTCACATACACATAAATTCCATATTGGCAGCACAAAAGAGTGGTGGGAGGAAGGAAAGTTTCTGTAGGTCTGCAATTCTTCACACTATTGACAGGACAGGGAAGAAAGGGAAAGCAGAAAAGTACAAATTTTGATGGCAAAAACAGAAAGGAAGACTAAGGCCAAAAAATGGATGATCTAGTGAAAGAAAGTGGAATAGGAACTAATATTATTAGAATTATGGTGAGCAATGAGTATGGTCCCCACCTTCCAGCATCTTTCTTTATAAATCCAGTCAAACCAAAACACTCTTTTGCTTTTATCCAGTCAAACTGGCCAACCAAGAGTCAAAAATATTGTTAATACCTTTGAAGTTTGAATCCACCTATGGTGCCAAGATGATATCCACCAATGGTTACAGGCTAAAGCAAGAAAATTGTGGCTTTTGTGTTCTCTTGTCTTTGTCACCCATAATGTTTAGTTTGAGAGATAGGGAGAAAGATTTTTATAATTTGTTTTATGTAGCTTAAAATAAATTGTTGGAGAGGAATAGAAGATAGCATAAACGTTAAAATTTCTTTCTCACCCTGCTTACTTAATTTTTGGTTCCCTTTCAAAATTAGGAATTTTTAGAAGAGTGATGAATGTTTACACCAATTAAACTATGTTTTTCTTAATGATTTTATTTGATTATTTTATGTATATAACATAAATACATAGATGTGTTTAATTTTTCTCTTCTCTGTTTTACTTTCGAATTAATAGGTTATATTTTTCTGCATTAACATCTTTCCTTTTCTTTCTTTTCTTTTTCATTAAAATTTCTTTCTTTTCGTCATTTGAACCAAAGAGTATTTTAAGGGGAGATGATGTACTTTTATATTTCTTTTTGTTTAATAAAGGAATTTAATGGTGACAATTTTTTTTATGCACTACCGAACTCCTAACTTAATACATCTCTATAAGCATATAGGTTATTGATGTGGAAAAACTTCTCACAAAAAAGTTTTTTCATATAGATCATTGAAGAAAAAACATTTCAATCCCATGTATGACAAAAAAAATTCAATGAATATATTAGTTGCGTTAACATGTTCTCTTAATAGTAGAATTAAAAAGTGACAAATCATTCTCAAATTCAATCAATTTAATGATTGTTAAGACTTCATCATCCTATGATAATTTTACAATCTAACAAATGTGAAAATATTTTGTTCTAAGGGTATTATAATCGGACAAAATGCATTAATATAAAATTCAATTAAAGAGTTAATCTTAAATACGATATTTGACACAAAAGGTTATATAGTATAATCACACTATTATAAAAAAAAATGTTTTATAAGAGACTTTTTACAATTAGTTGTTATAGAATCAATTTAGAATGTGAAGCAGTGACACTTTTATAAAGATCTTCAATTATTTTACATTGTTAATTAATAATTGATGTATAATGTGGTTTATTACAATGATTAGTTGAGAACCAATGTAATAGTTCCATTAATTTTATTTTCAAACACTCCTTGTTTTTGTGTTTATGAAAAACTCTTCTCTCCCAAACTCTCTTTGCTCTTATCTCACAAACGTCTTCTTGAATCATTGTTCCGTTTTCTTCGATTAGACTCTTTTTGTCGTTGTGCCATTTTGTCTATACCAATTTTTTAGGGTTACTGCATGCTTATAAGTTAGTTTAAGTTTTTAAACTATCAGCTAAGACTTGAAAAGTTAGAAATTTATAAGTTAATTATTTGGATTGAAAGTGTTTGATTGATAAGTTAACTAATAAATATAAAATGATATAAAGTGACATATTTAGTTATTTGGGATATTTTTTTAAAATAAATTAGTGTGGATAAAAATAGAAAAATAAAAAATTAGCTATTTATAAGTCAATTTATTTTCATAAACTAATTAAAATAACTTCTATATGAAAATAAGTTTGTGAAGCAAATATATTTATTTTTATCAAATTAGCTCATAAAGTTCTACGGTGTCTTGCTAAATACACTCGGAGTATTTATCTCAATTTATGTTTTAAAATTAATTCTTGTTCCTAAGATTTTATTTCCATTTATAGTTGCACAGTAAAATAAAAAGAGAAAAGGGAAAAAATATTGTAAGCCCCACACCGAAATTTATTTTCTCCTATTTGACCAGAAAGTAGTGAAAGACAAAGAAAGAAAAAAGATATATGATTTTTTTGAAATTATTCAATATAAAAATTTTAATCTTTTATTAAAATAACATAAATATGACTAAGAAAGAAAAAGTATATAAAAAAAAGATAACTATTTTATCATTTTTTTTTAAAGAAAAGAAAATACCTATTCTTCGCTTTGCATTAACTTTTGAAGAAATAAAATATTAATATTTAAAATGTTAAGATTGACTTAGTGATGGATAGTTAAATAATATATAAAAGACCTATAATCTGTACAACCATTTTTGTTTTTTAAATATTAATGTAAGTTTCACCATTTTTCTTCCATTTTTCATTTTATTAAACAATTAAAAAACTATATATATATATATAATAAAATAAAAAACGAATGGGGTAACCATGTTTTGTATAGACATACCCTAAAGAGTAAAGACAGTGAATTTGATTAAAAATATAATTATACCTTATATAATTAAAAAATATATAAATAAGACTATTATATAATTTTTATTTAAAAATATTATGTCACTTTATAAATACTTGTTTCTTCCTATTAAACTACTAAATAATTATTTTATTTCCTACTTTTATTTTCTTTTCAGTTTTTTATTTTCTTTTGTCTCTTTCATAAACCAAACAATACATAATATTATAAGCATATAAATACTAATTTTCATTCTTCTTCCGGAATTCCTTACCGAACATGAATTATTTTTATTCTAAAAGAAAAGCCAAAGGACCGTGTCTGATTCTCAAAATTTTTGTTTTTGGCATATTGTCTGACTGAGCATATTATTTTTGATGGTGTCTGACCGACAATATAATCAAAGGAACGTAGTCATAAAAAATATCAAATGTTTTGAACTTCTAGAAAGTAGAAAAACGTCCAAATATCCTATTATCTAAGGGAAGATGCATTAATCCAATAGTGACGTTTCAACTTCATGATAGGGTTCTGGTTCCCCTACACTCGAGAAATTATGCATTTACACACTCATTCAAGTTAAAGCCGTAAGATAAAGTTTATACGGCTTATATTTTTCTATATTTTCTCTTATACATTGGAGGGGAATAGAGAGGATGAGAAAAATTTTAAAAAAAAAATGAGTTTATTTTAATTTTTTTTTGTTTGACTCAATTTTAGGGTGAGGGTGGGAAGAGGAGAATGGAAAAAAGTAAAACTTTTCTTCATTTAATTTTAGTTTCTTTCGAATATTAAGGTGCTTTAAAAGAAAAGAATTTTAAGATATTTTTAATATAATATTTAAAATATTTTTATTTATATTTTTAAATATAAAATTATAGGATATAGAGGTAAATATGTTTTTAAAATGTTTCTCCTTTCCTTGTGAACCAAAAAAAGCTATTTTTTTTCTCCTCTCAACCAAATAAAATATATAATTCCTTCCTTTCCTTCTAGGGATAGCAAGTAAACCAGTATCCGTGGGGAACTCGTCACAACTTTGACGGAGAGTATCCAATTTGACCAAATACTAGTATGAGTATAAATAATACTAGACTCATTAAATCGGGTACGAGGACAAAAATGGATATATATATATATATATATATATACTTGCCTTGTATTCATACTTACTTAAAATTTATAAATATTTAATTTATATATTTTTTTTATAATTTACTTAAAATTTATGTAACTTCTTAGTCTATTTTTAATTTATGTTAAATAAAGTTTAATCAATGTAATTTTGTAATTACTATTTTATGTTAAGATTCTAATTTCTCATTACTACTAATAATATAATTGACAGTGATAGATTAATATAAATATGTAATATCAATTGATTTAATGTAATATTTTTATTAATAATGATATTAATTAAAGAATTTTGTACAACAAACTTACTAATGACATTTGAAAAAAAATAAACTAAAATAATAATTCTTTATATTTTAGAGACTAAAGACATATATTTTAATGTTAAGTGACAAAAATATAAAAATTAAAATAATATTTTTTAAATTATAGAAATTAAAATGATAAATTTTAAATTTAAAAAATAAAAATAATAATTTATAAAATCTAAAAGACTAAAAATACAAAACTTTAATTTTTAAGTAAAGAAAAATTTTAAAAAATTTAAAGGAGTAAAAACCATAATTAAATAAATAATTTTTAATAATGATATAAAATATAAATGCGGGGACCACAAAATCAAAGAAAAGGGATATGACCGCTTCTTCCTATTTTACTTAAATTATTATCTTTTTACCGCATTTTCCGGCAACTAATTTATAATCCAGGTACCTATCACGTGAATAAGGTTAGAAAAATAACTTCATTAATTAATGTTGCCTTTATAACAGGTATGTTTGACAACAATATGAAAAATAACTTAAATTTTATCGAAGTTAATCACTTATACACTTTTATATAGACAATTAATTATATCTTTTAATAATAATATATAATTGCTTATTTAATGAAATAATAATAAAATAAATAATTTAAAAAAATATAATTTGTTGTTAGTGTAAAAAATTTTACACTAACAATGTAGAGATGATTAACTTATTTTATGGACCCTCATTTATGAATCTTTTGAATTATTTTTTTTATAAAAAAATATTTATTCAAAATTTATTTTGAATTATTATTATTATTATTATTATTATTATACATTTATTAAAAAATATGATAAACTAAACCAGTTTAGAACAATCCAAAAAATAACCGAAATTCATTCTAAAAATAATTCACATTAAATTTAATTTTAAAATTCTAATTCGTCTGATCTTTCATGAGCCAGCAAGTCATTGATGGAGCTGAGTCTTGCTCACAAAATCCTCATAAAAAAACGACAAATTGACAAAGGAAAGCCATAGGCTACGAGCCACTGCACTTTAAATTGAGTTGTGAATTGTGGTTAAATAATGTATTCAATGGAGGAAATACTCTTGTTCCCAGAGTTAGTTAATGAGTCTTTAAAAGATTTTTTTTTTAATAGTATTTAAGTTTCTAAATTTTAATTCTATCATATAAATTAACTTTTTAATTATATTCAATCACTAACTTTGTAAATTTTATGAAAATGCATTAACAATTAATTGTCATATTACATATA